GCGTAATGATTCATCAGTCTCCTTTAAAAGGATGTGACCCAACGTTCTCCTCCCACTCCAAGGATGGGGAACAAAGAGGGGAAGAGCCAAAGGAAGGAAAGGCACCGAGCTGTAGATAACTGAAGGTGCTACAACCACTTCCAAGGCCCTTCTGTTTTCCCATCTTTTTACGTGTTGGCGCTTCTGTTGGTGCTATCTGGAGAGTTCTCACAGCACGGATGTGTGGAAATCAGTGGCACTGCCCTGTGCACAGAGGCATCCTGCCTGATTTTAAACTCAGCTGAGGCATCTAAGCTACATCTTGATGGGCTGAGTCACCATCTGGAGGAGCTTCTCCTTCTCCAGTGACGGAGAGCACAGAGCTACGGGATCCCGACACGGGCACCTCGCCATGTGCCAGGGTGTGCAATGGAGCAGGACAGGCAAAGCATGTGAAAAAAGAGGGGGTTTTTTTCAAATTCTTTCTCAGCTCAAGTCACTCACGGCGTGAAGGGTACCAGCAGTCAATAACAGTTTATTATTTGAGTTGATGGTGCCCCTATAAATTTAATTGCATTTAGGAGAGAGGCACGATAAAATCACTCACCCGTGAAAGAGTTGATTTTATTACGTGTGAATGCGATACGGAGCTCTTACCCATCGAGAGGTGGGGAACGAGTCCTGCCTTGTAAGAAAAAGGCGTTTTGTTTCCCATCCCGCTCCTCCAGTGGGCACACGTCCACGTCCTACCGGTACCACGAGGTCTGGCAGAGCATGGTCAGGCTCCACAAAGCCAATCCATGTATTACCAGTCCAAGAAGGAGGTCCCTTGGCAGGGCTTGGGAGGGACCTTGTGGAACCCCTGGCCGTGGCGTTCCAAGTCATAGAATCATAGAATCATCTAGTTGGAAGAGACCTTCAAGATCATCGAGTCCAACCATTCCCCTGCACTGTCAGGGTTCCTAAACCATGTAGCTGAACACCAAATCCACACGGTTTTTAAACACCTCCAGGGATGGTGACTCCACCACCTCCCTCCAAAGTCATTCACTTTTGTTCAGAGTTTATTTTGAGACGGGAGTGAGCGTTCTCCCTGGGTGGAGACAGCGTTGGGAGATCCCCACCATTGTGAAAACTTCTGCTCTTCTGTAATATTTAGTTGCCGTTTGGCCACACGAAGAACTTTTCTGCTTTACCAAACAGTGCCGAGCTAATAACGTTCCCTGTCCTTAAAAGCTCTTTTCAAGCCACAGTCGATACCGTATTTTATTTTCTTTGGCTGGAAGGGCTTTGATTGCTTTTATGTGTAGTCACGTTTCGATTTTAGTTCCAGAAATGAAGTGGGTTGAAAAGAACTCCCTTGGGAGCACCCAGGGGCTTAAAGAAGAGTGTGAATTTGTCGGCAAAACCAGGAAAGCTGCAAGTCCCAGACCACTGAGGTCCAAGCGTGGAGCCTTGGTGGCCTCCTCTGGCTTCCTGGGGCTCCTGCTGTGGCATCCTCATGTGCCCGCAGGGGCAGGTATTTGCCAATCTCATCCAGAAATTATTTGCAATAATACTTCACTTTTTTGCATCGTATGTGTTTTTTGCACGTGCAGAGAACCAATTTCTTGCGTCGTTGACCCGACCACACTGAACTTTCGGTGTTATAAGCTGGAAGTCTGTATTTTTAAAAATATCTGTATAAATCACTGTTAGCAAAGGAAGTTATTGGCTCTTTTATTATGTTTTTGCCTTAAACAGGGCTCTGTGCATAGCTCAGTTAATTTGCTTTGGTTGTTCAACCTGGTAGGTCGTTGCCAGAAACATCTTTATTACTGGAAAAGCTGGAGAATGTGTTTAGAAGGAGTTTTACATGGAAATAAAGTTGCTTCACTCCGCAGGACGTGTCACAGGGTGGAGTTGTCATTTAAAGGACATTTTTTTTCCAAAGTGTGGATATTTTACATATGTCATTTTCTAATTAATTCAGGATCGGTGGCATGCTTTCGAAGTGCAGTTCTCCTCTGCAAAATAGCTATAAAAGTAGCACTTCAGCTTTCATGAAATTGTGTTGCCAAGTTTACATCTTCTCGTAGAAAATATATTGGTTTATTTTTGCTGTCCTCTGATGTCTGGGGTTTTTTAAGCTATCAGTGATCACCAGTAATGAAGGACGCAATTAGTTGGTGGTTTACAAGTAAAAATTAGTCCAGCTCTGTTTCCCAAAGCTGTGTGAGGTTGGAGGCTTAGCAGGAACAAAAATTGTTGTCAAAAGTGGTTTTGTTGGTATAACAAGCAAATACTAACGTACTCTTTCTTCTGATTTTAGGAGTGGCCACACATTACTTGCCTTCTGGTTTTCCCGTCAAGAAGGAAAACTAAATCGACAGCAAACTATTGAACTGGGACATCACATTCTCAAAGCGCATATTTTTAAGGTAACAAAAATTAAAATGAAGATTTATGCCAACCTCATCCCCGCTGCCAGCACTGGCAGCGTTCAGTCTCTTCTTGTTGTAGAGTTGTTGTTAGAAGTGTGATCGCTTCAGGCTGCTGAAACGTGCAGAAGTGAGCTTTGGAAAATTGGCAGTGGTATATAAGAAATCCTTGAAATTAAACCGTCCTTCAGACACTAAATTCAGCAGATAGCCTCCTTACCTAAAATTACTCTTCTACCGTAAGAGGTTTCTTCCCATGTAAGATGGGTTCCTGTAACAACATGTAGAAAAAATAAATCACTTGAAAGGAGTGGTGTTGAAGAATCTAACCCAAAATTTAGGTCGTAAAGGGAGAATTTTATGGTCGTTAAAATCTGATGGTCGGTTCATTTTGCTCTTCACCCAGACATTTAAGACCTGGATAATTGAAAGGCAGACTTGGATGTGAGCATCGATATGACCCATAAACTAAGTATCATTCTTGTGCCTGTTGGCCCATACGACAGGGGATGGAAATGTGAGGATGGATTTGTAAGGTCACAGGAAATACAGAATTTCTTAAAACTGTTAGGATCAGTGGGTGCTTCACACTGGTAAAAATGAGGCTGTACTTTCATCTCGTCTATATATGATTTTATAGACTGGAGAACTTCAGCACTGCTGTATTTCTAGAGCAAACGGGTAGTTTGTGTCCTGTGTCAGTCCTGTTATTGAGTTCCCTGTGCTGAATTCACCGTCGGGTGTCGTAGCAAAGTCTCCTCCTTTGGGAAGGCGATGGCTGGAGCCAAAGAGAAGAGCCCCGGATCGGCGCCTTCCCCCATCAGTGTATCGTTTTCAAATTTCGAGTTACCTTCCCAAAGCCAAATTCATCACCAGGTTACTGTTCAGCTGCCGTTTGCATCTAAATCTGCTTCCAAATCTTCTTTGTTTCACACTTCCACGGTAGAAACAAATAACAGGGTTTCAGGCTCTAAACAAATGACAATTTTCATTAAGTGGACAAGTTGCCTGTAGATTCCAGATTTAATTGAGCAATATTTGCAATACTAGAAAATGCCAATTAGCAGATGAAAAATGTCAGTACAGCCTTCTGTTTCTGATCACTCGGCAAAACCCTTCAGTTTGCAGCACTGCAGTAAGAAGAGTGTGTCTTGGTGACAGATAAACAGAACAGTATGTTATTTAGAAGTACTATAAAGTTTGGAAAGAGTTTGGATTAGCTGAATTAGAAACACTGTAAAACTTACTCTTTCGCTTTTCCTTGAGTAGATTTATTTTTACTCCTTTTTTTAAACAAGTGTTTACTGAGGGTTTGTGAGTGTTTACTGAGTGAAACAATAGCTGTGTTTGGTTTTGAAGGAGGCATTGAGCTGGAATATTGCAGACCATGTTTAAGATCTGGAGCATTCTTTAAAGAGAATATTTCCAAGAGTATGTACACAGGCTCCTCATTCTGTTGTTGCTGTGACTTTATTTTTTTCTAAACAAGCATTTTGTTGCCAGTCAAGCTTTTTGTTCTGTCTGATCTTTTGCTGAAGCCATTACCAGTACAGCACAGGTTTTCTGCCAAGTGGGGAGCGACTCAGGTCATCAATTCAGTGTTTTTCCTGAATCATAGAATGGTTTGGGTTGGAAGGGACCTCAAAGATCATCCAGTTCCAACTCCCCTGCCATGGGCAGGGACACCTTCCACTACACCAGGTTGCTCCAAGCCCCATCCAACCTGGCCTTGAACACTGCCAGGGATGGGGCAGCCACAGCTTCTCTGGGCAACCTGTTCCAGTGCCCCAGCACCCTCAGAGGGAAGAATTTCTTCCTTAGATCCCATCAAAATCTCCCCTGAAGGACCATGTTATAGCAGCGCCTTTCTGCAGACAGAAAGATCCTAATTTTGAAGGTGTTTAGGGAGGCCTGATGCCATTGCAATTCCATTTTATTCACCCCTCATGAAGCCAGGAGAGGATTAGAACAGGACTAAAGCATTTTGTCCAGCCAAGGAGTACTGAATGCTGGCTATAGAAATAAACCTTGATTAAACAGTGCAGAAAACTTACTTGTCCTTTCCCAATTTCTGTTGGTTCAACTCCACCGGTACCTTGTGCAAGGTAGTGATGGGACATTGGGAATTTCCAGGTGCAAAAATTCAGTGATGCACAGACACAAGAGGATGACTTGATAGATAGATGTAAAGAAGCTTTCACGTTCCCGGCTTTGCTTGATGGCTGAGATCTGTTTTCTTCTTCCAACACAAACATCCTCAAGCAGTTTAGGGGGGAGAAAGAAAAGTACAAGTGTTTTAGTCTTTTAAAGCAATTACCAGTCTTAACAGGAGCGTATGGAAACCCAGCTTGGAAAGCCTGGCATGGAATGAAAGGGCAAGAAGAAAAATGTGCAGTAGTGATAGAAGACGACCCAAACTTCAGGCTGATGTATGTTTTGCAAATCAGCCGAAGAGAAGTCTTTAATTTCTTTTTAATTTAGTTAGCTAAAATCTCAGTAATCCAGAAATGGGTGTCCCTCATCCCCAGATTGAGAATGTAATGACAATTACAATGTACAAACACTCCCTTTGACAGCTATGGGTATGTAAAGGTGGCTGAAAAAAAATTCCTTGAAAAACAACTTTAGAAAGATCTTGTGTTGAAGATGCCAATGGCCAAATATCAGAGAAAGTGATGTTAGAAATTAAGGATGCTGAACAGCTGCATCCAAGAGTGCAGGACAGAAAACCACAAGCCTGTTTGAAAAGTGGGGTTGTGTGGGGTTGGCAAAGTTATTCAAATGAAACGTGCACGGTCAGGCCATGCCTTGGTCCTCTGTCGATGGTCCCAGCAAAGTGGAAACCACTGATGGCGTTTCAGTTTGACGTTGTGTCAAGTTGGAATTTGCTTTTGCTGAAGGATTCAACCTGCTCTGCAGTTCTGGGCAGAAATGGGAAACAGGAGAGGAAGATGCTCTCTATTAAATGAGACATAGTGCAGTTTTGTTTCAGCAACTGAATGATAATGGTGCTGAATATATTTATTCTTTAAAGGACAAATGTCATCTTTTTATGTCTTGCACTAATATCTAAGTATATATGTTCTAATATAGTGGTTAAGATTTTTATAGCCTATGTGATTATCTTCAGATGGCTATTCTGAAAATACTCTTTCCTTCTGTCCTGATGGTGACTCAGACAGCTTATTTATGGTTTTGGTAGTATTACATCTATTTTTAAATTATTTTAACCGTTTATTATAAAATTGTTTTCCATTTGTCCAATTATACTGTACTGAGTTCACTGAAATTTGATATTGACCTCTAATGTCCTGTATTGTGTCATTTCAAAAGCAGCATTTAATGGTGGCTAAAATTCCTGAGCTCTTTTTCTGCCTCTTAACGCAAGCAGATATTTTTCTCTCTTTAGCTGCCTGAGTTTTGAAGGAAACAAGCGCCTGGAGTTGTTATTTATAAGAGCTTGTCTAATCTGTTGCTTCTTTTTATGGTAAAACGGTCGCAAGTGACAAATCTGTTGATGGCTGGTGCGATGCTTCAGAATATCTTTCACACGTGGGTATTAGAGGTCTGCGACGGAGTCCAGCAGCGGGCTCAGGTGGTGATTCCTGCCTTTTTTTCTTTAGAGGAAATAAATCCCACCTTTTGCTCCTGGTTTTCTGCCCACCGCCCTACACCGTCCGTGTCAGTCTGTCGTACAAAAGACGTACGGACTGAAACGTGACGCTGCTGCTTGGCACGGACAGGAACGACCGCGCGGCGTGCGAGGACGTAGAAATCAGGGTTTGCATATCGAACCAGAATTAAAGATGTCTGTACGGTTTCCATGGAAACTGCAGACTTTAATGGTAAATCGATAGCAGAACAGCAACGTATAGGGCGTATCCGCCTCGCGCCGTGCTGGACTTGCAGACCCATTCCTCTCGTCTTCCATCCAGCCGTTTGCTCCCGTCTCTTGGCTACGGAGCAATTATTGCTCCTTCCATAGGAGGGAGGAAACTTGCTTAACAGTTCTGTGCTCTGCCAATTAGTGTTGCTGGAAAAAGATGTCAGACCTATATATTACGTATAGCCCGAGCACGGACGCCAGCCGGAAAGGTTGGAGACGGTCTGGTCTGAGATATGGGAATGCTGTTCCAGGCTGTGGTTGAGACTTCCTTAATTTATCTTCTTGTGAGCAGATACTGTCGTCTAGTTTAACTGTGTGAATAACAAGGGAACTCTGTGAATCAGTTCTGCCAAAATAAGAGGTACTTTATTAAAAAAGAAAAAAAAGCAGCGTGCTGCGCTCCTTAGCGTGACGTTTTCTGAGGGTGTTGAACAGATGCAGGTTGCTCACAGTTTAATCCTGCTTTTCTTAGACCTTAGACATTTGCAAGTTAGTTCCTACAGGCTTATTAATTCACTGCAAAGGTCGGATGTGGCAAATTGTCACGTTGCCTTGTGTGTAACTGCTGGCGTCTTGAAACTCTTTGAAGTCCAAAGACCCAGGAGATCTGCCCAGCAGAACTGAGCATGTTTCTAAGCTTGTGTCTAAGTCATCTTTTCTTTTTTAGGGGCTGAGTAAAAAAGTTGGGGTATCTTCCTCCATCCTGCAAGGGCTTTGGATCTCCTACAGTACCGAAGGTCTTTCGATGGCTTTGGCATCTCTGAGAAATCTCTACACCCCAAACATAAAGGTACTGGAGGAGGAGGGGGAGAGCTGGAGTGCTCAGATCTCATGGGAGAAGCTCCCAGCAATGGGCAGTAACCGTGCTTAGAGCGTTTGCCATCACTGCCTGCCCATGGCAGTGGTCCTGCCCGGGCAGCGCTGAGCACCTTGCTTGGGACTGTGCAGGTGTTCGTCCTGAGCTGGGGAGAAGCCATCAGTTCAGTTGGAATTTTGTTCCCATGTGGGATGACCCCTCAACTCTTCTACTTTGACCAGGGATCTCCTTTTAATGGCAGTAAGAGGATGGTGGATTTGTGCCTGTGCAAAATGGTTCACTTGCGTTTTTCCTCCCCAAAGATGTGGGATGCGACAGCTGTTGCTGGAATTTGAGAGCCCCGGGAAGGGCTCTGGCTTAGACAGGCGGTAACTCCGGGACGATGCCAAACACAACGGCACGTGCCAGTTCAGGCACTTCGTGCCCGTTCGCATTGGTAAGGATGAACGTGTTGGCTTAAGTGACCTCGTCTCTGCGCAGGAAGGATTTCAGACAGCGGTACTGGTTTCAAATCGTTCCTCATCGGGAAGGATGTTTGCCACAGCTCCTTCCTGTACGGGCAAAAATGCCTGAGATGGGACCATGTATTTGGCAAGTGGTTTTACTGGGCATTTTGTCTCCTTTGCTGTTTGCTTGGAAGAGTGCAGAGGGCTCTGGTTTAAATTCTCATCTTGCCCTGACAGTAAACTGGTGTCTGTCGGTAACGCTCAGCTAACAGGAGCTCTTCTTTCCCTGCGCAGGTCAGTCGGTTGCTGATTTTAGGAGGCGCAAACGTGAATTATCGGACTGAAGTTCTGAACAACGCCCCTATTTTGTGTGTCCAATCTCACCTGGGTTACACGGAGATGGTGGCTTTGCTCTTGGAGTTTGGAGCCAATGTAGATGCCGCTTCGGAAAGTGGCCTGACCCCCCTTGGCTACGCGGCTGCCGCTGGATTTCTAAGTATCGTTGTGCTGCTGTGCAAGAAACGGGCCAAGGTAAAGTGACCACGTTCCTCTAAAAGCTGATTTAAACTGTTGCACATTTGTGCAAGGCAGAGCACGAGCTGCAGGAAGGATGTGTAACGCGCGCTGAAGAACCTCCTCCGGCAGATGAAGCCAGGGTGCTGCTGCAGAGGGTTGGCTTTTCTGCTGAAAGGCGGCATCTTTGAAAATCTCGCGTTGACACCAAGGCTAAGGGACCCCTGAGAGTCCATAATTAGTGTTCTGGACTCGAGGTCTGAGGTAGGACTGCCTAATCACGCTGCACTGCTGCCTGCTGAAGGGAGTTCTGGAGAAGTCCTTGAACCTCCCGAGGTTAAAACGGCAACGTTGCTTTTGCAGCATGAAACGTTCTTTAAATATCTCCTTGAGACACATTTTCCAAAAACTTCTATCAGACTTGTCCTAGAAAAACACTCTTTGTTTGGCTTTGTGGTGCATGTTTGGAGTTTTAATTGTATATAATGAGTCAAGTTTAAATATTTTGTTGAAGAGGAAGATTGTGCTGATTTTTGAAGTGGAGCCTCCTGGAAACAATTTGTGGTTTTGCTATATGTTTAGCCGCAGTTCAAAAAGCAAAATATGGGTTTGTATAGTTTTGGTATGAAAGTCAGGATGACTGAAGGACCCGTTTAGATCTTGCCGTGTTGTCTGTAATAATGTGAGGACAGCATGAAGGAAGAAGAGGGTTCTGCTTTTCTTGGGATATTTTTGAGAGAGTTGGGTGACTCTGACACTCGTTGGTAAGAAACACCTTTCCCTCTCTGAGAAGGGGAATGCTCGGGCTACGAAAGGTGATGCAAAAGTCCTGCCATTCATTGGGTATCCCTGACTGTGTTGAGGAAATATCCCAAAACCAGCTGGGTTTAATTTGAAGGCTGAGATGTTTTATTCTACCATGGGAAGTTATGAGAAATATTTCAATTATTATAATGTGTTAATATTATTCATATATTAATATTTTCATGTGTATTATATTAATATAATTTATATTGTTAGTATTTATAGTATGAGCAATGAGAAATAAGATGTTGCAGAGCACTGAGGGGGTTAACCAGCAGGAGGACAGTGGCTGATCTGCCCGTCCTGTTTTCTCCAAGTTTCTGGTGTTGGGATAGGACCTAGAAATCCCAGCTGATGTCTTCAGGCATCAAGTGAAAACCATCCCCTGTCCTGAAAAGCCAACCTAATAAGTTCCTACAAGGCTGCCAAGCACGAGCTCTGTTTCCTATTGACTGCTGCCTGCCTTGGGTTCGCATTGCACGTTCCCTTCTGCCTCTCTCAAAAGGAATGGTATCTGGAAAACAAGCTGGTTTTCCTTTTGTGGATTTGGATAAAGGGGACAATACCAGCACATATGATTTTGATCCGCGAGAGAACACGGTTGCTGGATTCAGGATGCAAAAGGGGAAAATGCTTTTGCAGCCTTTGAGTCTGAAGAAAACTGAAGAAGCTAAAAATAATGGTAACTTCTCCAAAGCAAACACTTGTGGCCAAGAGGATGCCTAAGCCTGGGATGGAGTTGCTTTGGGAATGGTTGTTTTCTGGTCATGGAAGGGATACTTTACCAGAAAAATGCACGTTTTGCGCATGGGACGTTATTTTGAAACCGGGGCTGGAAACTCTGAAGAAACGAAGACGTTTTGCCCATGATTTGGCTTAATTGTATTTTGTCATCTCTATTCAAGGTGGATCACTTGGACAAAAACGGTCAGTGCGCTCTGGTTCACGCTGCTCTCCGAGGACACTTGGAGGTGGTGAAGTTCTTGATCCAATGCGACTGGACCATGGCTGGGCAGCAGCAGGGAGTGTTCAAGAAGAGCCACGCCATTCAGCAGGCACTGATCGCTGCCGCCAGCATGGGCTACACTGAGGTAGGACCTACCGGCACATCGCTGCCTCTGCGGGGTGGGAAACCAAGGGTTGACTATGTTTGCTAGCCAGAACATTGACCAAAGAGGGTCTTGGAGGTGGAGTTGGTACCTCTGTCCTACTCCTCCTCCCCTTCCCATCCCTGGCAGTGGGGTTCACAGATCATAGATTCACAGAATGGTTTGGGTGGGAAGAGACCTCAAAGATCATCCAGTTCCAACCCCCTGCCATGGGCAGGGACACCTTCCACTACACCAGGTTGCCCAAAGCCTCATCCAACCTGGCCTTGAACACTTCCAGGGATGGGGCAGCCACAGCTTCTCTGGGCAACCTGTGCCAGTGCCTCAGCACCCTCAGAGGGAAGAATTTCTTCCTTAGACTTCATTGAAATCTCCTCTCTTTCAGTTTAAAGCCATTGCCCCTTGGCAAACCCTGTGGTCCAGGCAGGTGTCCAAGAGAGGAAGCGTAACAAGCCTTTAAGTTGTTGGAAAAAACCTTTAAGCGAGGGTGGATAAACAGCGTGTTGCTGTTAGGGGAGCGTGAGACCACGTAGGTTCAGACTGTACGTTGAGGGGAGAGAAGAGCTGAAGAGCTTGTTCCTGTCGTACTGATAAAGACTTGTGGTGTGGAAAATGATGTCTGTTTTCCTACCGAGAAGCAATCTTTGAGGATTTTTCTATTGTTTGATTTCTCTGCTAAATTGAGCTCCTCTCGGTTACTTAAGTTTAAATTTTGCTTTTGTAAAGCATAATCCATGCAAACATAGGTACTGTGCTCCCATCGGAGGAGCCAATTAAAGAAAGCTGGGAAATTCTTATTAGCTAAGTGACTGCGAGTTGCACTGATGAGGAGCAGATGTGACTTCAAAACCCTAAAGATCTGGGTGCTGAGGACGTGATTTGTAACAGGACACAGAACTTTTAAAATGGGAATTTCCCTGCAGATAATACTGGTCACCTTTATAACTTGTAGAAGGGAGCTTTGGAACTGTTTACTATTTCTGTTGTACCATGAAGGGTACACGGTTGCTTATAGAAAATACAGCAGTTCCCTGTTTTGAGGTAGGAGATGCATTATGATGATTTATTTGCTGGTTTTCTCCTACCTTGATGATAAAACAAGTATTTAGCGTGTGTATAAAGTGATCTTAATCACTGGTGGAGGCACACTGGGGTCCTTGCTGTGATTATGGCCTGGTGTAACCCCACCAGATGTAGCTTTACACTTTAGTAAGGCAACACGAGGTCCCCTAAGGAGAACAGCTCTCAGGCAGGAGGTCACCCGAGTGCCCGGGGGGTTTGTTACCCCAACCTCACGCTCTCCCATCGAGGCAGGAACATACACACAAGGCATCTCCTGTGGAAGGACCACAGGCACTTCAACAGCATCTTTCACATAGGCGCTCTCCTGCGTTCCTGGTTCCTGTCGTGCTGCTGTCGTTCCCGATGTCCCATTTAGCACTAGAGCATCACAGGCAGGACATGGGAAAATGGCACTTGTCACCAAAATCCCTGCTCCAGTGCCTCTTGGTCCGTGCCCGCGGGCAGCTGCGAGCAGTGGGGCAGGCACAGCTTCCTCCAGGTGCTCAGAAAATGCTGGTTGTGGCCTAGACCCCAGCAGTAATTGTTTCTGCTAGAAGGAGAAAAATGTTTTTGTCCACCAGTCATTTTTTCTTAGCCTCTTGCTTTCTCACATCATATGATCCAAACAGTGAAATTTTCTGCTGTTTTTCAGTCAATTAAATCCTTTAATTTACCCTTTAAAGAAGTTAATTTGCTGCTCTGGGGTTTCAAGCATCCACAGCTGGAAGAAAAACTTAGTGGAAGTCTTTTTAACAGTCTGCTTAAAAACGGTGTTTGTGAGGAAGGAGCTAATAGTTTCTGGAAGTAACTTCATCTTGGCTGGAGCTAAAGATAACGAAGAGGGTAACGATTCTAACTGCACCGTTCCACCATTTGTCCGTGACTCAGTTTCCCCAGCAGTGAAAGGGGATGATGA